TGCGTTGGCCCGCTGGTGAACGGTAGGTCGTCGGTGGGGGTGTTGGCGGCGGTGGTGTCTGGCGACGGAAGTGCGACGGGGCGGCGTTTTGGCGTGGACGGGGAGGAGCGTTGTGGCGCACTGCAGCAGCGTAGCTCATAGTTTCCGGCTCGGGCAGCGGTGTATGGGGAATTCGAAGTGATTGCCGAACTTCTTCTCGCACAATGTCGGCGATCGAATCCACTTGAGGTTGCGCCGAAGACAACAGTTTGCGCAGCTCTTCCCGCACGATCGCTCGGATCGTTTCACGCAGGTTTTCGGAGTCACTGGTTTGAGCAGCAGCGCATTTTGGAGTCAGGCGACGATTATACTGTCTGGTGCGCATGTCAAGGGTTTTTTCGATGGTGGTCGGCTCAGATACAAATTCTTGGACGGTGTTCGGTGGATTCCTCATTAGTCCCGCGAAGAGCTCCTGTTTGACCCCTCGCATGAGGAAACGAACTTTCTTCTCCTCAGGCATGTCTGGGTCAGCGTGACGAAATAGGCGGGTCATCTCCTCTGTGAAAATTCCAACCTTCTCATTCGGTAGCTGAACCTGGGTCTCTAGTTGAGCAGCGGCCCTTTCTTTGCGAGCGACGCTCGCGAACGTTTGCAGAAATGCGCCGCAGAAGACATCCCACGTTCGGAGCGTGGACTCACGATTCTCTAGCCAGGTCCTTGCGGTGTCTTCCAGGTAGAAGTACACACGCCGGAGCTTTTCTTCGTTGTCCCAGTGGTTAAGGGCGGCCACAAGGTCGTATGTTTCTAACCAGGACTCCGGGTCTTCGAACGATGACCCATGGAAAATTGGTGGTTCCCTGGGTTGATGCATGACCATCGTGGGCAGGGATGCGGCGGTTGTCATTGTCGCTGCAGTCGCGGTCATGGCCTTGGTCTTCCGCGCCTTATCTTGTAGAAGCCCGTACTCCGGTGGTAGCCCTTGCTGTCGGCGGCTTGTTCGCTGCTCCTGGTTGGCGTCGGTGTCTTCTCCGCGACGTGGGCTGGGTTCACGGCTTGACGGGGGCGTGCGGTACATGAATGAAGCAGCACCTCCACCAGATGTCACGGGGTCGTGACGTGGCCGAAGACAGGAGACTTCGTGTTGGGATTTAACTGTTTATTTGGGCGAACCTGTGCCCGGTAAACGGAAAGTCCAATTACAGCAGCAGCCTCGCACAGATAGCAGTCTCGGACTGATAGCGGCGAACGGAGCGTCGGCCTTCGATCAACAACTGACAAGCGGCGAAGCGCGTCGGCATTTATACTCCCGCCGTCGAATGTTCTAGCGCTACCGCTGGCGGCGGCGTACGTTCCAGAACAATCTGTACCATTCGCACAGTGGGCGTGATCTTATCGAAATGATCTACTACAGTCCGGAACCCTCTCGAAAACTGCAGGCGCGGTTTGCGCTGAGAATCGTGTGGTGTTTTGGGACGATAACAAAAGCTTGGGAAATGGAACGTGGCAATATGAGGCAGAAGTAATTCCCTCGTGGCAACAAAAGAATTGTCTCTGAAAGAGAAACTTCTGAACCCTAGATATATTGTACTTGGGCACCTCACAGTCCACTAATCTTGAAATTAATGTACTATGTTCCACACTATCATAGGCTTTTGCGATATCTAACGTGACTAATGCAGAAAGCCCACCAGATACTTTTGCAAGGCGAATTCGACTTTCCAAATCAACATGAGCTGACCATATAGAGCACCCCTGTCTAAATCCTACTTGCCTTGGTGAAAGGATGTCCTGACGAGCAATGAATTCACTGAGCCTTCTATGAAGAATTCTTTCAATTATTTTAACTAGGTTTGAAGTAAGCAAAATTAGCCGAATGTTATCCAGGACATATCCGAGGCTTGGATTTTTTCGCAGCAACAACTTTAGCAATTTTCCATGCACTTGGAATCCATGTGTACTGTAAGGAATAGTTAACAATATTCAAAAGCTCATTGGGATGGGAATTAAATATCAATTTAATCATAGAGTTTGTAATCTGATCTGGACCGGGAGCTGAGTGCTTTACAGTTAGTACGACATCTGCCAGTTCTGCCATAGTGACTTCCCCAAAGTCTGAGGTTACGCTTTTGAATGTCACAGGTCTCAAGTATGACGAAGCGAAACGTGCTTCAAGTCCTTTCATGATGCCCTCTAACAAATCTGTTGTCTCTTTAGGAGACAGCACTACTGAATGCGAATATGCTGGTACCTGCATCGATTTTTTGTTCCGTAGAAACCTGTACAGGGCAGATCTTTATCAGGTTTGAATAAACGCGAAATTAAGTCACAATTTTGTTTTATCTTTAGCTATAGCAACTGTAGGTTTAAAACAGCGCTGCGTTGAATTTATAGTCAACCTAATTTTTCGGAGTATAATTGTGGCGTAAACGTTTCTAAGCAGCCTTACGTCGCCTATACGCAAGCGTACAATCTTCATTCCACATGGCTGAATTTGACGGTGTGCTGCCGTACTTAACAGAAAACTCTGCCGGCTGAACAGAGTCACTTAGACACGCTACTACTGAAGCAGCTCGTTGCTGTTCGACGCGTCCTCTCAATGACGAGAGCGCGGAGTTTAAAACAGTTTTATAAATTTTATAGTTGGTGAACCGTTGTTGCCGGATAGCAGAGGTAAGCTGTGGTAGCAATATTTCAAAAGTAAGTGGTACATGATCACTACTCGTCTCATTATCAAACGTTTCCCACGATGAAATCATAAACTGGCCACACGAAAATGTTAGGTCTAATTGCTGATGAGCTTATCCCGCGTACAAAGGTAACTTGTCCAGAGTTATGACAGCAAAATTATTATCCTGCAACCAATTCCACAATCTTTTGCCACAGCCATCTGTTTTAAACCCCCAAGAAGTGTGATGCGAGTTAAAATCCCCAGCCAATAAAATTGAATTTGACAAAGAATTCTTGATAACACAATCTAGGTGATCTGTGCGTCTTACTCCATTCGGAAAGTACGCATTAATCACTGTAATCCTGTTGGAGTCAGGTAACAAACAATCTATTCCTAACAATTCACAATCCGGACAAATATGTTCAAAAGTTACAGTAACATGATGACACATTTATGAAGATATTAGGGCCAATAATCCACCTCCTCTACCTGGCCGATCCAGTCTAAAAGTTCGAAAATATTTCAGAGTAAATGTTTGGTTTACTGATAGCCAAGACTCTTGAAGTAAAATTATATTAGGATTTGTTTGCTTTGTGAGATAAATAAGATTTATGTAAGCTGAAGATACGGAACGACAATTCCACTGGAGAACTTTTACAGGCGCTATGATGGGCTTAATATAGTTGACTCGACTGCAGAACGCAAAACGTCCTGCTGGTTGTTGGCATTAGTAATAACTTTTTTTGGTTTCGACATTGGCAAACTGGTTGAAGACAATGGAGCATTGCGTCGTTTATGAATGATATTACCAAGCCTCATGTCACCTAACGACCCACTGGGCCCCACAGGGGTCAGCGACTGAGCGCTGATGAGCGTTTCAGAGGTAACATCTTCTTGAGGCTGATTATTTTGTTCATTCTCGAGATGCTCAGCTTCACCCTGGACCGTGACAGTGTGTGCAGCGAAGGAGGGAATAAGGCTGTTTAACCTGGCGGCAAGCATCTCGGTCAGATCTTCAGCAAAGTGTTGAAAATCCGTTCCATAATCATCGGCATGGCCTTATCTATCGCTGCCGACACTGCGGAAGCGACCGTCGCTTCAATTGACTCACACTGGCGTGACGTAGCAGCAGCGTACCCCACCTCGCGCTCTTTAACGAAGGATGTTGCCTCAGACCGAGAACAACGGCGTTTCTCCACTATATCTAGCATTAGTGTTTCACGTTCTAGAGCAGGGCAGCTATTGTCCGTGGCTGTGTGTGCTCCATCACATAGGCAACACCTGCAGTTGTCTACCTGACAATTATATGCGGCATGTGCCCAACTGCAATTCGCACATCTCAATGAGGACCTGCAAGCATTAGCGCTATGTCCAAATCGCCAGCAGTAACGGCATTGCAGTGGGCGAGGTGTCAATGCCTCTACACGGAATAGATAAGGACAGGCTTTCAGCTCAGAGGGGCGTGTGAGACCAGCAAACGTAACGATGACGCTTTCAGTAGGGACTCGCGTATCACCTACAGGTCTGGTGCATCTGTAGACAGATATCACGCCAGCTGGAGAGACCATCTTTAAGAATGCTTCAGGACTAATGTTAGTTGGAACACCACAAACAATGATCTTCACACAAGCAAGATGAGGGGGGATAAAAGCGCGAACAGCAATGAACGCAAATCTCGTGGCGGCCAATAAGTCTGTTAAGCATTGAATATTTGAAGACCTGCATAGTATGCCAGTCTTGCCGAAACGCCTCACCTCCGAGATGTCCAGAAAATGACCGCTTATGTTGCGAAGTTCTTCTTGAAACACTTGTGTTTCACTCAACCGAATGGCTCCACCATCAGTGGGCACAAGCGCGACAGGCAAACTGCTTACGCCGTTCTTAAGGAAACACTCCAGTGGTACCGATTCAGCAAGGCGACTGGCCGACCAGGGCGAGCCCTGGTCGGGACTGAAGACCGGCATTGATGGCTCTTGAAAAATCAGCAAACAGAAATTCAACCGGTAATAAAGAACCCAAGGTGATTAGTGTGGCCAATCCCCTCTCACAGGACGTGCAATCTAAAGCGCCAGCTCTGCTGCTTGCTGCAGGCACATCTTATTCACAGGCCTAATTTTTTTAGCAGAACGGAAAGGGGTGCGTAGCATTTGATATCAGAATTTTTACATCTGGAGCGAATGTGTTAGCGTATACTTGCATGCTGCTAACAGTGAACGTAAGAGATGAGCGATTTGTGTTCGAGCACGGTGTTTACTTCGCATGCGGGAGAGCGTACTATTTGCACCAGGTTAGCCCACAACAGAAGGAAGTGAACAATACTGCTTTATTTCACGTATTGTCTGCAATCAGTAAATTGTGCTCGAGATGAACAATTTAATTTGCACAACAGTTCCGTTACAGCGATGCGCGAACAGTTACGACGGCTAGGCTACTGAATAATGTAGTCATCTGGGAACTCAAATACTTTTGGGAACTTCGCTTGCTCCTCTTCCGAGTACTCCATGAGCTTCTTAGGTGCACGCCGGAGCTGCCTCAGTTGACCCGAGATGTTGTCTATAATTTCGCGAGGCACCTTGTCGTCTGGGAACAGGTGCAACCTGGCCATTCGGGTTCGCCTGTTCAGGTCGCCTGGCAGTGCCCTGTACACAGCCTTCCAAAGAACCTTTGTCGCGTCCTTGTCCTGCACATGCCATGCCGGTGTCCAGGAGCGCCCGCCTGGAAACCGTGTGTCGTGGAAATACATGCGGTACTTCCACTCGTACCAAGGCATGGCGATTTCGCTGCAGTTCGTCACCACAACGTGGTCCCCGCAGTGGCATGTGGGAGAAAATATCGGCTTGTGTTTGCCCTGCAACACGTCGGAGATCATCTCGGCGGACTGGAATGGGTTCTTCCATCGCGCGTCGTAAAGGAGCCAGCGGCGCGTAAACGTTGCCCACTGTAGCACCCGTTTGAAATTAGATAACACACCCATATCGAAGCAGGAAAAGGGAAATATGCACTTTACGATACTGAGAAATCACTGGCACATGACGCTACAAAAGTATAGAGTACTAGAATATGATAGTACAACAGAACACCTACCAGTTTAGTACTTAATAACATAGTTTTGTAAAATTAACTAGAGGGCACTCTGGCGCTGCGATCGTGCAGCGACCATGGGAATGATGGGTAGTACACACATTTGCCTAGTCTTCGTACTTGCGGCTTTGTTTATTGCTTTGTTTCGGTTTTGTTTTGAAAGAAGGAACGAACCCTTTTGAACTTAAGGTCTTGATTCGAAATAGTAAGCTTAAAAAAATAAGGTTGTGAAGCACAAACGGTGAGCATTTGCTAATTTATGTTTTCGTGTAAAAACAGCTCCGAGCCACACGAACACACACGGAACCAGAAGCAGGCCACAAGTACGAAAATTAGACAAATATGTGTACTACCCATCATTCCCATGCTCGTTGAAGTGCCGTGCGTTGCAGCTCCCATAGACACTAGCGCCAGAGTTCCCTCTAGTTAGTATTGTGGGAAACTCTATGCTTAATAACAAAAACAAAATGAGTCTGACGCAGGGTTGCCAGGTGCTCGGAGAGCAACCTGCCAAGTTCAGGCCCATTAGTAACCCAAAAATAACCAAAGACAATATATTCAGATAAAACATTCTTATTTATTATAAACTGACACAAAGCGAGTTCATACACAAAGAAAACAATTATGCAGTGCATTAACAGACAGATCAAGGAGGAGGAAGGGAAGAAATGAAAGGCAAGGAGGTCAACCAGACGCATGTCCGGTTCGCTACCCTGCACTGGGGGAAGGGGTGAGGTGATTAAAGGAGAAAAGAGAGAGAAGTGAAGGGCAACGTCTGTGTAGATGTGACCTTGTCCATTGCACGCTTATAAGCGGTCGCGTAGTCCAGTCATCTTTAGAAAACCTAGCAGTGCTTGCGTCGCTTTGCTGGCCTGCGACGCGTTCAGCCATGAACCAAGGATCTTTATTTCGGATAAAGGTCTACTGTCTAGTGTCTCTAACGTTTCACGTAGCAAGTTGCGTTCTCTCGAAAAACGTTCACATGAACACGGTAGATGTTCTATTGTCTCGTCAGTGTCCCACGATTCACATCGGGAGCTATCTGCCATTCCTATGCGAAAGGAGTACGCCTTTGTGAAAGCTACTCCTAACCACAGGCGGCACAGTAAAGTCGCATCCTGCCGGGAGAGGTCGGATAGAACTTGAAGCTTTCTCGATGGGTCCAATTTGTGTAGGCGGCGGTTCCTGACACTGGGGTCACTCAGCCAAGTTTCCGACATGGTGTTAGCGAACGAGTGAAGGCCCCTTGAAACGTCGGTTCTCGACAATGGAATTGGGATTGTCTGGGCGTCCGCGTGGGCGGATCGGGCAGCATTATCAGCAAGGTCATTACCGACAATACCACAATGTCCCGGTAACCACTGGAACACCACGTCATGTCCTTTCGATAAAACTTTGTGAATCACTTCTCTTATTTCATTCACTAGTTGTTAATGCTCCTTTTGTCGTAAAGCTGATTGCAAGCTCTGAAGGAATGCCTTAGAGTCGCAGAACACAGCCCATTTTTGAGGTCGGGCTTCCGCAATATAAAGTATAGTAGCACGTAAGGCGACAAGCTCCGCTGCTGTGGATGTTGTCCTATGCGACAGTTTGAGCTTCTTAGTGACCTGGTACGCCGGGATGACAACAGCACCTGTGGAGCTGTCAGCCGAGACCGATCGGCTGACAGCTCCACAGATATATATGTCGAGACATCGGTGTAAATGTGGGTCCTCTGGCCGTATATTTAATTGAGTAGCGAAAATGTCACCTTTTGTAGGACCACTGTTGAATGACGGCTCTTGTTCGTTATTCCCGGAATAGAGAGGCACACCTGTGGTTGTTGTAGACACCACGGAGATGACGCTGGTCTTGTTGCTGGAGTGAAGCCGAAAGGAAGGCATTCTTTATGGGCAGAAATAATCTTTGAAAACATCGCTTGTGGTCTTTGAAGTGTCAACACTGCAACATGGTGACCAGGAACTCAAGCACTTAAAACAAGTACGAGAGGGAAAATTTGGTTACATAAAAAACTTGTGTGTCAGGACCAGTCAAAGAGGTAATACATAAATTATACATTCACAACAAAATAGAACTAACGAGAGTAAACAAAATCAACTACGGGCAAAATTAATATCTCAAAAATGTGGTTACATGTGCAAAATTGTGGAGTAGTAAAAAGTAAGTAATATAAACAGCAAAATAATTTTTATATCGCAATCACCTCAGTTTTCTCTTGACCTCACTCTTGCTTTTAAACAAGCTTTGTTTACTCCAGCCAAAAATTACCAGCAGTTAAACAATGTGAAACTTTTTAAAAGTGTTTTTAAAAACTACAGGTTGTTGTTGAATAATATTGTCGTTTTGTCAGCGCTCAACAGGCTGGCACCATGCTGGCACCATTTGGCAAAGGGGTAAAGTTAACGTTCAGACCTCACTAAGTTACCCTTCCTCCATGCACTAAGCGCAACACCCTTTTAGTACACTGCACAACCAGGGAACATTGAGATCACTAGCGTGAACCAAGATGTGAACCAAGACGTGTACGAAGTGTACGAGCTCGGCGCTCGCCCCTTTGCACAATATGACATTCATTACAGTGGTGCGACGGGCAGGAGTCAAGCCACAGCTTTTTTAGGGGGACCATGAGGCTAACAGTGTAGCCAAAGACGGTTCTAAAAGGGCACAAATATTCAAGCCACACGGAGTCCGTGGGAGAAGAAATCGACGTAAGCACAAGGGCCGAGCTAAGTCAGACGTAGGTTATATTAACATGCAGGGTGGCAGGAATAGGTTAAAGTGGGAAGAGATAGAGGAGCAGTTAAGGCAGCAGGAGCTGATGGTATATGGGATTGTGGAGACACATCTTCGGGAGATGGAGCAACCACCTTGCAATCTGGACCTCGTATGGGAATATTGCAATAGAACAGAAGGCAGCAAAAGAGAGGTGGAATTAGGGCATTTATACATAAAAGTATGTGTTGGCAAAGAGTCAAGCATGGATGCAGGAAACATTTATGGTTAAGAGGGAGAGTAGCTGGGCAGATATGATACTCCTTGGTTTGGTGTACTTGTTGAGTAAAAGATATAGGAAGTTGAACGTCCCAAAACCACCATATGATTATGAGAGACACCATAGTGGAGGTCGCCAGAAATTTCGATCACCTGGGGTTCTTTAACGTGCACTCAAATCCGAGCACACGGGCCTACAACATTTCCGCCTCCATCAGAAATGCAGCTGCCGCAGCCGGGATTCGATCCCTCGACCTGTGGGTCAGCAGCCAGGTACCTTAGCCACTAGACCACCGCGACAGGGCTTGGTGTACTTGTGGACAGGAGCAAAGGTCAGAGATGGAAACCAAGCAATGGTAGAGTGTATAACAAATGACATTGAGGAATTAGGAGGAGAGCGCGAGATAATTATACTAGGAGATATGAATGCGCACATAAGAGATATAGATGGGTAAACTGACCCCAACAGGCAAAATGATCATGGATATGTGTGAAAGGCTTGATTTGATCATTTGTAAGAGTACCGAGAAGTGTGAAGGGCAAATAACATGGGAGGTAGGAAGGCGGCAGTCGACGATAAATTATGCACTGATGTCACATAGGATGTATGATAAGCTCAGGGGAATGCACATAGATGGTGGCTCCAGAAGTCTGGGTAGTGATCACAAACGTATCAAGCTAAGTTTTGGAAGAGCAGAAAAAGTAAGAAGGAGACAAGATAAGCAACATACACAAATCTAATTAGGCTCTTTGAGCTAGAGCTTGCTAAGACGCGTGACAAGTCACCCCGGAAAAGAAGACACAAACCCAAAGATGAGGGAGTTAAGAGGGCCATAGGAAAACGTCAGGAAGCCTCTAGGGAACAGACATGCTAAGCAGCGGGGTGAACCGACAGATGATGTTGAAAGAAAATGGGAAACCTTTCTAAGCTGTAGAATAGATGCATCCCTTCTGATCAATGAAAAGATTAGAAGAAAGGGAGCTCAGTGGCTGGCAGAAGTAGATGAGAAAGATAGAAAGGCAGCTGCAAAATTTTGGAACCATCCAAACTAACTAAGAAATGAGACGAGCCTAGAGCAGAGGTTTATAACAACAGCTCAAGGAGCTAGGCTAGAAGGGGACGAAGCTATTAAATATATAAGAACAAGGGTGACAGAGAAATTTCAAGTAAGTGCCATATACACCTTAATAGACAAGGATGGATCAAGTGGTGCAGTGGCTCCATTTTCACAACGAGAGTGTGGAAGGGCTGAGAAGAGGGTTTCTAGTAGCACATCAACAGGCCCGGATGGCATCCCAGTTATGCGCTGATAAAGACATTGGGTCCCAAGTCTAAGCATAAGAGAGGCAGCGAGCAAAATAACAAGCGGTGGTGAAGTCTCCGACGAATGGAAAGCTTAGCAGGATGAGCACTGATCTATAAAGGAAAGGAGGACAAAGCTGACATAAACAACTACCGCCCTATAACAATGACATCAGTGGTCTACAGGCTGGTTATGCAAATTACAAAGGAAAGACTGCAAGCATGGATAGAGGATGAGGGGAACTGGGAGAACTGCAGAATCGGTTTGTAAAAACAAAGGAGGTTGGAAGACAATTGTTCTCACTGACGCACTGCATCGAAATAGCAGAAAAGGAACACGGGCCCCTGTGGCTGACATTTTTGGATATCAAGGGAGCGTACGATAGCGTGATTCAAGAGGACTTGTGGGGAATACTGGACACATTGGGTGGGAAGATGGAGTCATTCATCTTTTGAAGGATATCTATAAAAGCAACAAGGTAGTTATAAATTAGGAAAAAACAGGTATCCAAGCCCAGAGAGATAAAACGGGGGCTTAGGCAGGCATGTCGTCTGTCACCCTTGTTATTCATGATTACCTACAAGGATTAGAGGCCAAATTAGAGGGGAGTAGATTGGCTTCAACTTCTCTTTCATCAAACAAGAAAAACTCACTGAACAGGCACTACCAGCATTGATGTACACAGCTGATATAGTGCTAATGGCCGACAACAAGGAAGATTTGCAGAGATTGATGAACATCTGCGATAATGAGGAAGATAGGTTAGATGTCAGATTCAGTAAAAAAATCAGCAGTCATAATTTTTAATGATAGTGAAAGTAGTGAGCTTAGGATACAGGAGGCCACGGTAGAGCTAACAGATAAATACAAATATCTGTGCGTATGGATAAGCAATGGGACCGAGTACCTAAGGGGACACAAAATATATACGCAAGGACTAAAGGTAACAGTAATCCAGTCGTGATGAAAAATAGGGCACTGTGAAATTACAATAAATATGATGTTGTGAGAGGAATATGGAAAGGGGTTATGGTTCCTGGTTTGTCTTTCAGCAATGCAGTCTTGTGCATGAGATCAGAGGTTCATGAGATCAGAGGTTCATGAGATCAGAGGTTCAATTCTACACATTGTTGCAGTACTAGACTTCTGATAGAAGAAGGCTTGATTTGTTTGATTTGAGGGGTTTACGTTCCAAAACCACCATATGGTTATGAGAGACGCCAAGTGGAGGGCTCCGGAAATTTCGACCACCTGGGGTTCTTTACCGTGCACCCAAATTTGAGGGCACGGGCCTACATTTTCTCCTCCATCGGAAATGCAGCCGCCGCAGCCGGGATTTGATCCCATGAAATAGAGGAAGGTTGCCCCCATAGAATGGCTATAAAAGTACAAGTATATTCTAGGCTACAGGACACAGCACAACTCAAGACAAGTCCCAAGAACTTCCATGTCCACGACAAAAACCCTAGACAAACAGTAGTATTATGTAGTAGTAATGGCTCTGTTGTTTACCATTCCAACCCTTGCCATTTCTTGGCACCTATGGTGGGTTTATAATAATCATATGTGACCTACACCTCAGCGTACAAGGCCTGTTTACCCATATGCAGAAAAAAGTAACATGCTTTGCCAAATGTTTTAGATGAAAGAGGGTCTCGGTATGAATACTTGAGTTCTTACTGAAAAAGACACACCCTATTCCAATAAGCAATTGTCAAGGTTGTTGAGGTCAGTTCAATAAGGTCTGTATGTATTTTACACCTTAACATTGTAGTGTCCTGGTCTGCTGTTCCCTAGAAGAGGGCTAGCTAACAGAGGAAGGCAGATTTAAAAACCGAGATACTTTATTGCAAACGAGTTTTGTGGAAACCCGCAAGGTGGTGGTAGGGTTTAGAAAGAGAAAGAAGACAACCACCCATTTGTAGCACGAAGCCTCAAGGTTTTTCTTATGGCTTCGTGTTACAAACAGTGATTGTATTCTTTCTCTTTCTTGAGATACATTATCTTACTGATGGAACTAGAACCAAGAGAATTCGACTTCTTGTACGTGGTGTGCTGTTGTGTTTCTTATGCTTCTTATTCTGACTAGATGATGGTGAAAGACTGAATCGCTTATGCTTAAAAGTGGAAAGAAGATGCCATGTGCATCATTACCAAACCAACATGCTTCACTCCTTTTTGTACTCTAAGAAAAGGTTATAGGGCCATCCTATTCAAATAAAAATTTTCATATTGTATCTGGAAGATTATGTCTTTTCAGCAATGCATCTATCTTCAGAAGTGAAGCTAACTTAAAAGAATTGGCGTTGGCGTGATTTATGAGAAGCTGGCTTGCACACATTGTGTTTTTTATCAAAGCCTACTCATGAAGAAAAAAAAAATTGGCACACATCGTGAAGCAAAGAATGTGGTTTATAGGTGGGCATGATAAACAAACATCGCTTAATGTGCATTTCTTGCAGCGTGGTCATCAGCATGCAGTGGCAGACTCTGCACAGTGGGTTGAACACTATGGAGTCCACTCACAACCTGGCCTTTGATATCAAACTGGCCTCTGCCATGTTACCATCAACGTTAAAAGAGTGAAATAGTTCACAGTTTTTCTCTCGCAGTAAGTAATTTATGACCCACTTATGATGGCTGCTTGCATTTCTTCAGCACTTGATGGTTATTTCCAGTCGTTTTCATAGTGCCCAGTCTCATTCAGTTCAGGGAGCACCAAGAAAAGTGGGTCCAGAGCTGCTGGAATGTAACACAAATGGCCACATGGGTGTAGATTAAGATTGATGCTCTTGGTTGAAGACATGCGACCACCTACGCTGCGAATCTCCGGACTTTTGATGTCTTTGCCATCCAGAGATGACAAAGACTACGTATTTTACAAGTTGAGGCTCCCGATGCAAATTATTTTTGCTTACATTCAAGCCAAGTTCTGCTTTGTGCACTCAGTTGCATGACACACACTTTAAGAATGATTTTATGTTCTAAGCTACGTTTGCCAATAATAATGAGATTATGTCTGTTCACACAAATCAACCTGAAAAGCTCTCTCACCAACAAAATTTTGTCTGCACAGCTTTAATGACAGCTTCACATCTGCATAGCTAACTTTATAAAGAGATTTTTTTTTTCATGGTGTATGGTCTATTGGGTCAATATGTCGTAAGGTAATGGTAGCCAAAACGAAACGTACAGGAAAACAAGGTAGCTTGTTTATGGGATGGTTAGATGGTATTTTTCAAGCCACGAGGAAATCGTTTGGACAGATTAAAAGAAATTTTATTAAATAGATATACTAGTATCACTAAATAAGTATGAAATAACAGTGGAAACAATTCAGGCAGAACACAATCACTGAATATATTATGAAGTCACAATATTGGTTCCAGCAAGTATACAAAGAATAGGAATTACCTGTGGCTGCTGCAACAGCTAATGCACTTTTATTATTTCCAGCAAGTATTTGTACACCACAGGGCAAAGAAGGAAGTATCTTTTTTACTTCTGTGCAGACACGTGCCATGAAGGCATTCAATTCTGGTCCAGCCTGATTCGGTTTCACATAAGGAAGGTCGAACATGTTTTCAACGAGGACACCATCCTGAGGAAGGAACGTACAATAGAATCTTGTACATCACTGGTGGTTTTTGGCATAAAATTTGGGTTTTAAATAATAATAAGTTTCAACTAAGTTAAAGTGGCCATAGGTTTGAGAAATAATTTTTTTTTTTTTTCGAAAAATGGCAGCAAGGTAAGATACTGTTTGCACAATCATTTATGCACAAATGTCATCATGTACAATATGGATTTCATTATCCTTGCTCCTATATATTTAAAAAACCTACGTGAATGCATTGTGTTCAAAGCAGACATGTAAAGCACATTAAAGGGTACCTGAATAGCTTTGTGCTTTGCAAGCTTTGGAACTTTGTAAAGTAGCGACACACTCTTCCTCGTTTCTTGTCCCTTTCGTGCCTCCTCTTTGACCGTAGCGCCACCTGCACTGCTGCTCCAGCATAAAGCACAGGGCATTTAATAGAGTTAATGCACGCTGGGTCAGGCAGTGCACTACAATCTTTCATGCTTGCAGTCTGGCCAGAAGTGCCTTTATTTGTAGCACAATGATTCTCTTTGATGGGTTACAAGAACATATTAACTGCACTGTTATACTGTGGTGATAACTATTCCACAATGAAAGTGTCTAAACTAGTGTAATGACTGCCCACATATCGGAGGCGACAGTATGAACGCTACAGTTCAGTACGGAACTTCTGTAATGAGCCCATATCACCTGGTCCTGTAGCGAATCATTGTAAGTAACGTGTTTGAGACTAAGTGCAAACGTCATGGTTTGCAGCCAATTCTCTGATACCTAGTTAATACTTGTTGATCTTCCTTGGTGAATTTGCAGGGTGTATCATTGTGACACACGAAGTATGAGCGACAGCCACTCCGAAGATTCAGAAAGGTGTTACAGCTTCAGTACCACTCACTTGCCAATGTTTGTACTAAGCACACACAGACACAGATGATGGGCAGCGGTGCAATTATGAGTTCAATGCATCAACATCAACAGCAGTACATGC